AAGTAATTAGGTAAATATAAGATACAGGAAACTAGGCAAGTTTGTATGCCAATTTTATTGCCCATATATATAATTATATTGAATTTCTACGTGATCTGTATATTGAAATCACTAACATACAATGTTATAAACAGACAATCTGCATCCTTTGCCTTAATTGTATAACTATTTATTTGATGGGTAATCTAAATCAAAGTCGAACAATCTTAGAATCTCTATTGCTTAAATCACCTTTATCGATGGGCCCTGCGATGTCTTGAATTTGGAATGAGACCTACCCAAAAAAGCAGATTGCCTTGCATACTAAGTTTTTGCGATGGGATCATCATCTTTGATTCTTGGCAACCAATTTTCTAAGTTTTATTATAACTTTTTCGCATAAATAGAAAATTTAAATGCAATTTTCAAACACATTTTATGGCTTCATTTGCATGTAAAATGTTCCATTGCTCTTTGTGTGTCTTTTGTTCAGAAAGTTTGGGATGATGACACAATGGATATTTATATATATAGATAGATATGGTCCACCCACACTGCCTCCTGCACTTTGCAATAACTCAGAAGGCAAATTGCGACAGTTTAGGAATTTCCCCATCCCAAAAAATGCTGTTAATGGATGTTGGGTGATATTTTTTTGTATTTTATTGTTGCTTTTTTCTATTTTCAACATTTACGCAATGCAATAGTCAAACAATAATTGTTCATATGCCGGCCGACTCACTCTTTATATATATATATCGCATATATAGTATATATGTGCCCCCGCAGACGCGCCATGCAAATATTAAATTACAATAGTTGGTTGGGGGATACGAAGTGAGAAATATATAGTCAGGCTGAGCAATTGGTTTACCCTACACTTGGGAGTTATTTTTCAATGTTTAGTCTATGAGGCAAATAGTTGTTCATCTGAATTTTCACCTATACTTTTTGCCAACAATGAAATCAAATCATCGAGGGTGGAATGAACTCTGACGAACACGCTGTTCAGGTGTATAAAGCGATAGGGGCTAAAAGGGTTTTTATTTACAAATATTAATAATCAGAACTAGTTTTTTTTTTAGCTACAAATATGTAATACAATTTGCTTAGGGACATTACATATAATAATAAGAGTAATGCTTCGGTAGACAGCATTTAAATAAAAAAAATAAAAAAATAGAATTAAAGAAATAATTTCTAAATCAGTGGTATTTGAAATTTCTTAACTTGTAACATTAGGTTAAAATTGTATATTTACAATATTTAAAAGTAAAAATAATTTTAAAAATGTCTATTTGTAGGAAAGACATCGACCAATAGTTTATTTTAATTGTAGTTTTATTGCTTAACATGCAATTTTTAACGGAATAGTAACAGTTTTGGCTTCACAATGATTCTAAGTTATATTTCGGAACCCATTATAAAATAAAATAGTCTCCATTGCCTTATTAAGCAATTTTAAAGTGTTCACATTTTTGAATGAATCTATTAGTTTGGTTTTAGTATTTTTAGTTATTGCCATCACGCTATTCGCAGCTCCCATCTCCTAACTTTACTGGCCCGCTTCGGAATTAGAAACTTTCGTCTTTGGTATCTTGTGGCCATCTATTTATAAGTGCTTGCCTCATAGCCAAGATCTCCCCAATGATTCCCCGATTCCCCTAGTAAGTTCCTACAAAAATGCATACGTCAGCCAGGGAAAATAGATTCCGGATCCGCAGAACCGGCAAGTCTGGGAATCTGAGAATCCCGACCAGGTCAGATGCGGATGCCCTAATGACTAATGGTCGGAAGCCTTCTGGCACGCCAATTTGACAAAGTTAACAGTCGGCGATATCGCCAATCAGCATTATAGATATGGTCCCACAACTAGGAAGGGAAAAGTGAGCCAGACACTTCACTCGCACCTCGCACATCTCATATATAAACAGTTTTAAGTGTGCCAGTTGTCCCTGCCCCGCGGCCCCTCCCCCACCCCAAGTCCCCGCCCCCTTGGTCAATGTCTGAACTTGAGCTCAAGTGGGTGGAAAGGGGGGAGCTGCGTTAGGCAGCCTCAATGTAATATTTAAACAAATGCTCGCATGACTCTTTCACTGAAAATTGCATGTGATCGCTATGCGAATGTTCGGGTACACAGGGAGAAAAGATTTCGGAAGAAAATAACATTATTTTACTATCATTGGAAGCAATTGAAGTTAGAATAAAATGTGATTAAAAAATATAGTATTCGAAGATTAAGACAGCTTTTTTTTTATAGAAGCTATAAAACCAATAAGCTATTATAACTAATAATAAAGTTACAATAATTATGGGTACTTTAAAAAATGCTATATTTTGCTAATCTTAAATAATATAAAATTATATACAAGCATTATCTACTTTTTGGGGCCATTTTTTCAGTGAGCGCCTACAGCCAAAGTGGCAGATATATAGGCGGCCGATCACATGTGTGATCGAGGGTCCAACATCTTGTGTCCATATGTTGCACAAACAAACAATCGAAACAAAAACCGTGAAGCCACGAAAACAAGAAAACCAGAAAACAGAAAGCAAGGAGAACGAACCGAAGGGAATGTGCCAACGAAGGCATCTTTACACAGAAACCCAAAGAAAAACAAAGAAAACATAATCCCAAAAGCTGAAAAAGAAACCAAAATGATACAGCCAAGTCAAAAAAGCTGCGAAATGAATATTTTTCTCATCTGTTGGCTGCCGTTTTTGTCGGTTTTGGCTTTGGGTGCTTTAATTTTCCTTCTTGTTTGGTTTGCAGTTGCTGTTGATGATGCAAATATTATGACAGTTTGTTTGACAGATATCGGGGGCTATATCTCGGTGGAATGATGAGCGATATAAGCCAAAAGATCGCAGGGGAAAACGGAGGCACTTGTAAAGCCGGAAAAGGGCCATCAAAAAGGGGACCCATCTGTCGATGTAAACAACTCAATTCGGTTGCCAAGCAAAGATCAGTTCAAACAGGAAAGAAACCATCTGGAAAAGTTTCGCATTTCAGCTCTTATATGGATAGTGTAGTTACACGGAGTTCCGTCGCTAGTTGCAAAATTGCATTATTTAAATTGACACGTTTAATCATTTGTTTAGTGATTTTTACTTTTCTTAATTATATTAATTTTTTTTGAGTTCTTGTCCCTTTAACTTTTAAAATCAATTTTTGAATTGGATTAAAAAGTGTCAGCAACTGTGTAAATTTTCTTTTTTATCAGGCATATATTTAAACCAATTGAAGAAGATATATGGATTCAAAAAAACGCTCAAAATGTCAAAAGTTACCGACACACTTTATTAGCTGAATACATAGCTTTAAATAGAAATCAATTCGAAAAATAAAACCAATTGATAAGTAATATCTTCACCTTTTTAGGAAGTACAAATAGCTCATTCAAGTTCAGCTTTCCATTTTGAACGGATAAAACCCAAGATAAACGATATCTGGCACCGTAAAGCGAACGATAACACCGACTATAAGCTGCCGGGCCACCTGATCGTATACGCAATGTCCGATGACCGGCAATACGCATACGCCGGATGGGCAAAGGCGGAGGATGGTGTTATCTAACTGCAGCAGTGACCTCGTTTACAGCCCGATTTGCAGTGGCTCCTCCTTGAAAGTGAGCGTCCCACCGATAAGCCCTGACCAGGCGACATAAATGTGTACACATGTACGTATTATGCGAGTAAATATATGTTCGAATTTGTCCTCATTTACGCAACTTCCGATGTGATAAAAAGAGTCAGCGCTGCAGCAAAACAAATCAAAACAACAGTTGGAGCACAAATTAGATCACCAGAAATTGTCCAGCAGGTACTGTCCACAAAGCCAATTTTCGATTGGTCGGACCTCCATATACATACTCATACTTATATAATTTGAAATGTTAATTTAAGAAATTATTTCATTGCAAGACAACGTCTGTGGGCACCATGTCATTAACACGCTGATAACGCGCTATCATCGCTGCTCATTATGTAGGAAAAAAAAACACACACATATAGATAGAATTTAGAACTGGAACAATCGACTTCTCCACATAATAATTGGCAAAAACGTCCGAACACAATCGCATCATTCAAAAGCCAGCTGAAGTCGGTTGGATTTTGGAAATGTATAAAGGAAAATAATTCAGCGTCTGTTTTTCGAGACAGTGATAACCCCCGATGATGACCTGGGCTCAATGCTCTTGGCGATTTTATTTTTTTGGCCCCTGGTCAACTCAAAATCCGGTCCTTAACATTGCTGTAGCGGAGCGTTGGCATTTTCGAATTCAAATCACTTCCCATTAAATGGGGAGAGGGGGAAAACTATTTTCAAATCCACTTAAAATACACTCAGGGCACCAATATATTTTTATGCTAATCACCAAGCCGTGCTCGTTTTGTTTTTGTTTTTGTCTCTCTATTGGGAAAATAAAATGTGTGTCATAAAAAATAGTTCAAGTTCGTCGCCGAGTTTTGTCATACGGAGTAAGAGATCGTTAGAGATTCCAAAATGGAAGTGGCATAAAAATTGATTTCCAAGTCTTAAGGAAACGATATATACCTTAATGAAGCTGTTTTTTTTTTTTTGACAACTATATTAGAAGAGATTTATTAAGCTCATTTGTAGCCAAACTAAAGTTAAATATATAAATAAAAATAAAATACTTGAAGACAGAGTTTTGCTTAATCTGTGAATTCACGTATCTTATGATATCCCCATCTTGACTTTAACTTTTTGTTTTGGTTTTCCATAAAATCTCTAGGTAACCAAATTCTATAATCAAAGCCTTCAAAGTAGATTGTATAGCTGCACACAACGGTAAATTTCGACCAGCAATAAGTAGTCAGAGTCTGAACTTTTATCGTTGATAGTTTTAGTATTCGCTTTATAGCCCCGATCAAAGTTCCCCGACCACCGGAACCGTCTTAATCAATGCAAAAAAACAAAAAAAAACTGACAACGAGCGCTAAGAGTTCCCCAATTTCGCGGGTATCGTAACGCCGGTAGCATTGGCAGAACTTACCTTGGCATTTGTCAGCGGTACATGGCAGGCGTTGAGGACGAAGATCACGGCGAGGAGGCGCAGAAGCAGCGAGCCTGTGCAACCTATCCGCCCGTTTCTGATTCCGACCGAGGTCGCGATCGCGGGCGCTTGGGATCCCGGCGATCCCATCATCTTTATTCCGGGGGCACGTGGGTTATGTTACGGGATCTCTGGTATTTTTGGTTACTTTTGGCAGCTATTTGGGTTTTTGGTTTAGGTACTTGTGTGAAGGCAGTTTCGTTTCGTATTTGGGTTTGGTCTTAAACGGCTGGCAGGTTGTGGTTACGGCTATGGCACTGCACAGAGAAAAAATATCCCACGAAAAATTCAATTAGTTCTGTATTTCAGTAAAACGCTCATTGGCAAATGTTTAAAAAATTAACATAGCATGATAATGGTGAAATTATTCAAAGGATAATAAATTATTATTTTTTAAAACATTAACGAAGATTTTTTCTTTAAAGTTAATTATTGTATATTTAAAAAATGGATATTTTTGGTTTTGAATTTGGCAATAATTTCTTGGTTATCCTTCAGGTGTTTTTTCTCTGTGCACCTAAAAACAAGGGGGAAACAAATCGGAGAACACAGAAACGGGACGCGTTTCCCGACATCAGCAAAAAGTGCTGGACTTTGGTGAAACAAAAACCTCCGAAAAAAAGCGAAACCCGTAAAACCCTTAAGTTTCAGAAGTTTCCCCGAAAAAGCTGCCAGATCCCGGTTTCTTCGAGATTTTATTTTCACTCTTCCTAACGGATTTGTTCTTTTCCCTCTCTTTAGGGGTGCCACTCTTTTTTTTGGTTTCAATTTTTTTCTTAGTTAATTTTGTTTCACACGCGCGAGACACTGTTTTTCTTCGAGTGTATGGGTTCCTTAAATCGGATCAAAAGGAGCAAAAGATATCCTTGAATCGTTTTCACCAGGATATCGCAAGGATTTTTGGCGGCACTTTGTCGATGTGAGGGCACTCGAAAAAAAACAATCGCTCCAGAAAGAGAGCCAGAGTCACACCAAAAAACTAAAATAAAAACTGGAAACTGGAAACGCACCGTGGAATGTGCGACCGCCTGGAACGATGGCGCGCAACCTAATGAATTTCTGAATGTCCAAGAACCGGGGCTGCCATCGCTGCTGCCTCTGCCGCTGCTGCTTTTCTGCTTCCACGAAGACGGCGACGAAAACGCACGAAGGAAAATACGAGACGAAACGCTAAACGCGAAACACGAAGCGCTTTGCGTGCTCTTGTTATTGTTATAACGGGCGCTTAAGTGCCAAATGCAAGCCTGTTGCGTCGATGCACTTTCTCTCCGCTCTCTCTCTGTCTCTCTCTCTTGCTTCGCTCTCTCTCTCTGTCGCTCTCACTGTCTTTAGCCCCATCTCCCTTTCGCATGCGTGGGCATCCACTTACGCAAAGTTAGTCGCGCTTGCTCTCTCCTCGCGCTCTCCTTATCCTTTCCTTTCCCACACTCTCCTACACCCCTTTCTTTAAACCCCAGCCCCTGCGCTAAGGGCGTAGACAGGATTTAAAATAGAGGGTATTTAAAGGCACCTCAATTTAATTTATTAAAATTTCATTCGAATTAAATTGTTATCCTGTCGAGATGTCCGATGAAAAATATCATTTTATAATATGTTTTAAATCATATATATATATTATATTTATTATGTTTAATTCACTCCTGGATCCGCACCTGTCTTTACTATTGTAAAATGATTAAGCGATTCATGTCAAATAGAATACCATGCCCCCAAAATACCTTAAAAAAAAAGTACTCCAGATCCGCCCCTGTCCCACGCTCTCTGTGGGTCAAACTGATAAACAAGTGAAAACCGTTGCTCCTTGCTCTCTTTTCACCTTTTGTTGTTGCTGGGGCAGCCGGTTTGCAAATTATTTCTTTCCCTCCCACGAAAAGTACCGCATATATCGCACTTTTTTCTTCAGGTTCTATGCATTCGACACTTAAAAAAAATCAAAAAGACCTACGGATTTTCCTTAATAAGAAGCTTATTTTCTGTTATATTTCGCGGATGAAAAGGCATAATTTGACTTGAACACATTAACACAAAGACCAAAACAGAAAAATATTTCGATGCTTTAACATTTTAAAAATTAAAAAAAAAATACGAGGATTGTATTTTAAAACTTGTAGCTGAGCACCAAAAAGCTAAATTTCGCCATTCTTAGCTGTTGTAGCTTTTCACTTTCTGGGCCCCAGAATACTTGTGTTTTATGGGTATTTCACGGAATGCAGCCAACGCATGCTCTAACAATAGGCAAAAAAAGGTTGTGAAGAGTGGCAAGAAAACAGGTGCAACCAGGTATAACATCATCTTGCGGTCATCGGGCTAGAATTATTTCCTCTGCAAGTTCACTTTTCGTTTAAATTTTTCAAAGCAACACTCACTCATCGTTAAATGAGTAAAGAAAACATTGAAATGTGTGCTTGTATTGGGAACGATAATTCATATCGTTTAGTAAACACATTTACGTTCCCTGAAATGTATTTTTACTTAGTTTCATTTTTATTAATTCTTAAAATCAATAGAATTACAAAATAATAACAAAAGTCTACATTGCTTTTAGTTTTAAAGTAACCTTTTGAGTTTTCATTTTAGTTATGCTATAATAGTTTTGGTTTCAATATACAAATAGCAAACATAATAAAGAAAACTTATATACATATGTGTTAATATGAATATCCCTTATTTTTTCAGACAAATAAATTTAAAACAATGGAAGATTTCGCGTAAATCCATTTGAAATGGATACAAAATCTCATCGGTTTTGACGGTTGGAACCAATTGTCAACCGGTAATAGGTCATGAGCTTCACCTGCTGCCACCCGTGACCTTCAGCCCACTCCTCCCCCCACCGCCACCCCCAAAAAGGCGGCTTCCCATTGGCGCCAGACCCAAATGACATTCAAAAACGACGCATGCGTGAGGCTGAATTACCGGACATGGATGCCGACGCCCCACGTGGAGGACCAATGGACACGTTGCGATATTTCAGAGCCCCCATCTCCAGGATCTACTGGGCTATTCCCGAGAGGCCATTTCTTCCGTACTCCGGTGTAAAATTCGAAAATAGTTGCGGCTCGCAAATTGCCCCAGCTTCCGTTCGATGATAAGAAACCGCTCTAAAAATACACAAAAAAAATATGTTAATTACGCCAAACAAAATAATGACAAGGAACTGGCCGCACTGGAAAAATAAATTGATTCAAACAAAAATTAAATTAAATGGAAAATTTCAATTAGTTAAATCTTGTATATTAATGATAATTAATAAGCTTGAATAACTATTACTTTGACGGCATTAGATAAATATATTTGAAAAACTATCAACTAAAATAAATAAACTACAAAAGTTAAAAATAAAAGTTAAAAAGACAAGTGCAAATATTGTTTACAACTAAGCTTAAATATTTTGATCAGCTCTTTCCTCAGAGTATTTTTGTTATTGCTTTAACATATGACATATATTTTACACATTATATCGTATATACTTTTTTACCACATTATTTTTTTTGAGTACTTTCCATTCAATTAATATTTGGAACATGTGTGTACTTTCGAGCGCATGAATATAATTGGGTAAGTCAAAAGGTGGACCATTATCGCGCTCCTCGCCTCGAAATTGGAGCAAATGCTGAAACAATCATAGTTATCAATTAAAACTGAATCGGACCAAAAGACCCTATAAAGGTTATCTGTTATCAACGGTGAGAAAAAAAAACCAACAACAGCAGTTTTCAATATGGCAAACCCACCACATTCGAGTGGTGAGTGCACTGCTCTGTTAGCCACATTTATAAGCTTTTAGTTTGAGAGTCATTGCAAAAGAGCTTTTAGCCAAGTCAACTAGTTTTGTTTGTAAAAGCTTTCTAATGTTGGTTGTAAATACATTCAAATCTTAACAGGCCATGTATATTTATACATGTTTAGTTATTCTTGCAAGGACTCATAAATCCAAATTTCTAAGGTGATTAATTTATTATTAATTTATATTTATTTATTTTATGTGTAGTGTATTTTAAAACATATTTTAACATATTTTTCGGTTATTATATCATACATAGTGTCTAATGAGCTTAAGTCTTACGGAAAACTAACTAGACTAAATTATTCAACATTTATTTATGACTGTTATAATGACAGAAGAACCTTAAACTTTTATACTTATATTAAATATTAACCAGAATCTGCTAATCATTAAGTAGAAATCGCAACATTTTCATACTTAAATTTATTACGATAATCCATTAGAGCACATTCCAAGCAGATTTCTGAAAAGCATAATAATAAATTCAAGGGCCATTTTCAGTTATCCTTTCGGACGAGGCTGTGTATTTCGCTGCCCCATTTACTTCCCAACCACTCGTTTCTGCACTCACTTTTACATTTTCCGTGCACTTTTTTGGTTTCCGTTACCGAGTTTTACGCTAAATATTTGCCTCCCCATTTTCCGTTTTCCTAGCCAAGTCACGTGTTTGACAACCGCAACTTGTTGGTTTTTGCATACGTAAAAAATGTGTGGCAAAAAGTGGGCGTGTATTGCGAAGGACGAACATTTTATAATTGAAAACTAATTGTTGCTGTTAATTATTTATAAACGAAGCTTTTCTATTTATATTGCTTTCATCTAGCAAACGAATAACATTTTTTCATATACATAAATGTAATACTCATTTACAAGAGCAAGCAACGACATAAAATTTATTAACGTGTGATTTATGTGAATCAATTATCGTAAGTTCTACATAAAAAATAAATGTGGCATTTGAATTGAATTTAAATGAGATTTGTATTAGATTTCTAAGCTTTATTTTTTGTTATTATATTGAATACTTAAATTTATATTAAAACATTTGTAAATATGGTTTAGTTGCCTTGAAGTTTAAAATCTCAAAGACTCTAAGAAAAAGTCCAAGCAAATAACTTATTAAGTTTTTTTTTAACTTGGGAATAAATTAGGTTGAAAAACCCAGGTCCCGTATGAGCAATATGTATGACTTGCTTATGAGGAATGTGCTAATATAAATATACATAAAATTAAGCAATTTTGTTTTTTAAACTTTGTTATGGTACTCAATAAAATTATGCAACACTACTTACTAGTAATAAACTCTTAAAAATGTACTTTTTCTTGTTTATGTCTTATATGTGTTATCGAGAATCTATTACCTGCCGCTGACATATATAGATTCCAAGTTCTAGGGCGAATTTTCAAGAATTGACAGATGAAGATGTACTTCAGCCAGTTTCAAGGAAACTTGCTTACGTGAAAAACCAACCCCAGGAGCAGTTAATCCCCCGGAAAACCCAACCAGATGGTGGGTAACCAGTTGAAAACTGCAGTTTGCATAAGAAAAACCTTCGGTGGGAATGTGTGTGGTTGGGGAAGAGCAGTTGACATTTCCCCCCTGGTTTTCCAACTCGATTGTTGTGCAATTGTTGGCTAAAATGTGTGCGCCGTTTGGGAAAAGGACTCGATTTGTTGTGTTGCCAAAGCGTTTGCTAATTGTTCAGCTGGCTTTCTGTATTATGTATTGTATTTTTTGGCAAGACCTTTGGCTAGGGCTTTTAGCTTAATTAAGGCCAGCGCGGCGGCTTTTGTGCCTCCTCCGCCCGCTTATCAATACGCATCTGTAGGTATTCTGTGGCATTGAAATTTAATTTCGTTTTATTTCGCATTTCACATTAATTAAATTGACCTCCTTCTGTGCGAATTTGGGAGGCGTGGAGGGCGTGGAAGGCGAAAAACTGCCAAAAGGTCAACGGCGAAAGTTAAAAGACGAGGGAGGATTTGCACATAATACAAAATTCGAAAGTCTGACTGGAGTACCATCTATTCGGTGATTAAATACTGTAAAGAAGAGATTTTCTAGGTTTCAATAAAACGATTTCTAGCAAAAAAAAACACACTGAACTCTGAATTCTTTAAAACAACTAAAAGGGGGAAAAAAAAGTATAGCGATTTCCAAGAAAATTACAAAAAATACATATATTTATTTTACTTACATATATTTTACTTTTCAATGTGTTGCATTTTTAAACATCATTTACCAAAACTTAAAATTATTTGCAAATACTCTAATTTGTAAGCCAAATTTTGTTTACCTTATTTTCTTTACCAATAATTTTTAA